TTTTTTGGTGCGGAGAAGTATAGGAATAGGGAAATGATGTCCTTGCGAAGAATTCCGGCCCTCGAGTAACCATTATCTGGATGGCATTCATCATCATCCCCGGGAGTAAAAATGCGCCGCCGCCGCCGCCAATAGATTCCGCTGCACAAAAGCCAGGACTCTCTCCTCTCCACTCCTCTTTCACTCATACATAATTCATATTCCGACACTATCACAAACATATTACGACTCTCGTCCTTTTCCACTTTTCCGTCTGTCTCTTACCCTTGGTTGCCAGGAAAGCAATGGCCTGATCCATCCCTCCACCTTGAGTACCAATATACCGTTCGCACTCGGCACAGACACTAGCAATTTTCTCCTTCGTCAAATCGAACTGGAAACAGAAAAACAAGAACATCGTATCGCAGAAACGAATAGAAGTGAAATATGAAAAATAGTTTTGGAGAAACGCGATGATTTATTGAGAGACGTATATTAGGAATGTGATACAGAGCAGGACGAGACATTCGAATGACACCAACATAATCTATTGTTGAAAAAAAAAAACAATATGAAAGAACTCATTTCAGGAGATTTTAGACAATTACACTAGGTCCTCTTTTTATGCGGTTTTTATTTCAAGAAGCATTTTTTTTAAATAACTATTTTAGGTCATTTTGACACGTTTTGACACAAATTGGCAAACCATTTCATCGAAAAAGATGATAATTCTGAACGAGCATTCAATTTCCAACGCGAGCTTCAGAATTGCATTTCTGGATATTAGGAATTATACAAAAAAAAATAGCAAAGACATCGCAAAGTTTAATCACTGATTATATTGTCAAAGGGAAAAAATCAACATGCGAAGTTGAGACTAATTTTACTTGTGAAGAATCATTATTTTCAGGACATAGATCTGATATGCTGACTATCTCTTCTAGTGATGAAAGTGATTTCGAACCAGTTCGCAAATTATGCCGAACACTCTCATATAGCGACGATAATTCTAAAGAAAAAAATGGGAAGAAACATTAACTTTCATCAAAAATTTCTGTATTTTTTTTTCTGTAAAATTTTTCCGTATAAATTTTGAAGTTAAGATTATATTTTTCTGAAATTTAATAAATTTGTCTACGATTATTAACGCTTTTATAAAATTATGAATAAACATTTCAGAAAGAATATAGTAAGACTAATTATTTTTCTGAAATTTAATAAACCCTTTTTTATCCGATTTTCGGTATATTGTAACTCATTGATTTAGTTTTATGCGGTTTTAAAAAAATATAGAACGTATCCTTTATTTTTATACGTGTGTCTAGTCCTTTTTTGTGCGATTTATTTTTTCTGTGGAACGTATCTACCGCATAAAAAGAGAACCAAGTGTATATCATTTCAAAATTTAAATGGCAACAGTATTAAGTTTTCGAGAAATTTCATTCAATATCAATGAAAAAAATACGTTGGTAAAATAAAATGTAAATAAAATTCCAATATTGGTTTCGATCATATTTGACCGTGTTTATCCAACGTGGAATGTTTGCAAAGTTAACTTTGAATATATATTGGGTAGCAGTGCCATAAATATGCCAATATATTAAATTTATAGCGTACGAATTTAGGTTGCATTTGCATATTTACGATCATACGTCGTTTACGAGTGAACAGTTAAAAATTAAAGACATATTTGGGTATTCCTTATTGAGTTTGTCCTAATTTGCTAAAAACATAATCCTGAAGAATAATAAAGCAGTCCTATCGTTTTTGTTTAATTATCTTGCCACACACGAGAGAGAGACTTAGGACATTTATTATTCGGAACGCACGGCTATAAATATTCTTGGTTGATGTTGATGATGTAAACTTTTTTTTCTGCGACGAATAAAGGGCTGGGGTGGACACGCAATAGGCGAGGCGTGAAAGGTAAATTTATGATTAGTAGTAACGTGTCGTGCTCCAGAAACTTCGTAAAGGGTACTCCGCAGATTTATTCCTGCAACAACAACTAACTTACCACACATCATCGCACACACGATCCTCGAACTCCGCCACCAAGCAGAAACCCTTTATTCGCGGACGAGGATAAATAAAAGTAGTCGGGAATCAATAACGCGCTTAATAAACTTCCTTCCTTCGACATTTATCATTCCCGCTAGTTTTCTCGCTGCAAAACAAGGCGCGTCCGATGATGGATCGACTGCACTTTGTTCTGCACATCCCCTTTTTGCATTGCACATTAGACGAGCCACTGAACCGACTGCGAAAGCATCGATCAATTAACGACTACAAACTAACGTTTAGAGAGTCCAACTCAACTGGAATGATTAATTCCACGCTAATTGCATAAAGATTAACGTATTATTTTTTTTTTAACCGAAAGCAATTTCTGGTTATCGAGTTTTCGTCTGAAATCGGCATAAATAATTCAGGGCTTACGTCCAGACCAAATAAATTACGTGTAGGATAAAAAAAGTTGCGTGTATCTCTCGTGTCAAGGGTGGATGGTGAATGACGATGTTGTTTTATGAGTGTGCACAACGACTGGGGTAGCGCAACAACGGATAAAAGGGTGGTAATGAAGCTAAATCCAGTTAAAAGTTGTGCACCATTTACATATGAAATTCGTCCGAAAATAATCTAAACAGACACACACACAGAGAGAGAAAAGTCCCAGTTTCGCAAAAACCCTCACAACCAATTACATAACTGGCTCCACTTTATGAATGATTTATCCGGCTCGGCCGTCCCCCTAAATAAAACTCGGAAATGAAACGTAAAACGCGATACGAACTTTTCGCATTGTCCACAAAAAAAAAATAATGCAATGCAAACGTTGTTTGAATGTTTCAATTCTTTCCAAAATTCATTACATTTATATCTATTTTTTTTACATGATATTTCAAGTAAAACCGTATGCAGATTATATTCAAATCCAGCTTCCAGATACATATAAACTGCAGCATTAATTCCGATGTTAAAGCAACAATTAAAAAAAAAACAGCTTCGTTTCTTGAAAAGCTAAAGTTCATAATAGCATAATTTCATGAAACCAGTAAATTGAAGCATCAATTAAAAAACAGTTATTGTTGAGTAAAGCTGCGTATGCATAATGGAACAGAGATAATGGGGAAGTACAGTCGAAACGAACATCAAAGTTTACCGTAAGAATGTCAACAACGTATTTCTGCTGTGGATTTTCGTCCACTGTTTGCGTTCATTCGTCGTACATGTTAAATATTAAAACAAGAACAAGTGATGTGCTTCGGTGCATTCGCGATAAGCTTTCAGATGTATTTTGAATATAGAATTCGCGTACGCAAAAGCACATTAAGTTCAAGTAAAACTTGGAAAGCCGGACGCTTATGTGTCCGGTTTATGCAAACAGGAGAGGACTCGGTTCTAATGCCCCCAAAAGCCCGACCGACCTAACTAATCCATTCCACTGGACGAGAAAAACCATGAACTCTATACAAGCGCTCCTGTCATTGTCTTCAACAATTCATTATGTTGGATCTAATTCCGCTTCGAACTTTGAACCATTCATATTTTGATAGCTATATAACACCATGACTTTTGTATTATTTAAACAATCAACGAATCTCAAGAAGAGCAATTATTTGAATTTGTAGCTTCATATTAAATGTAGAATAATTTAAATGAATGACTGAAGCTTTATGCTGATTTCCTAGATGAAATTTAATTGGAATTTTAGCAATTTTCTGGGAATAATGGTATGCAACCAAACTTACTTTATGTGCTCGAGCCGTTGCCAGAGCGGCAGCGCTCACTAAAGCACTGCTGCTGGATAGCCCAGCGCTTCTGGGAACGGTCCCACTGACCATCACCTGAAATCCTTTCAATTCTGTATCCTTCGGGAGGATATCCAGAATACCGCGCACGCCACAAAGGAAGTATTGATACCATTCCGGCGCTCCTTCAGATACTTCAATCCTAAGGAAAAAAATAATGAAGCAATAGATTTTATGGTAACAATAATACCATACTTGATATCAGAAATGGGATGACGGTAATTTGCGAATCCCTCCTCTAAATTCGTTAAGTTTAAAGTGGGTTCGTTATCCTCTGCCACGGCCAATTTAATATCCTGATTCAGAGCCATGGGGCATACCCCGTATCCGCAATAATCGATGTGCTCTCCTATGAGATTTACCCTGGATAGAAGAGCAGAAGATACTCGTTATTTGAAGTATCCTGTATATGGATACAGAGTGAGCAATACCTGCCAGGTACTCGGACGTAAAAGTCAGGTTCGCGTCCGTAGTGGGCGGCAAAGGTCGTCCTTAAACGATCGCATCTTTCATCCTTCGGGAGCGAGGATACGGGAATCGTGCCGCTCTCGTCCATCTTTCAATCTTGCTCTTGCTGTTGCTGTTGTCTGGCTGGATCTTATGGATGGTTTTTAATTAAATCTGAAGGCGATGACCCGTGTATGGACAATTTACAGGACACGTATACACTACGAGTAAAGCAAACACTCGTCTACTACATCGGAGTTATACGAAGCCGGAGAAAGCTTAGATACTTCAGATGTAAACAGTAACCTATATTTTTATCAGAAACAACAAACGATTGTTCTGTATTCCGATTATCAACATTTGCAATATTTACATTAACAAATAGAAAACATTAACCTACAATATATAATCAATTTATTATAAATATTAATTTTCATCAAAAGAGACTAAGAGTATTTTATACAACTATCAATCAATATTTACACATATTTTAATCTCTGTATATTTTAGATCAACATTAATGTACAATATTCTTCTAAAAGCAAGTGTTTACAAAAATACAAGCCATTTTCCAAAAACGTTGTTTTCCAAACTGTCTAATACCAAAGTTTGATAATTAATTGTGACAAAGCTACGGTAGCTACAAGCCTGCAATTACCCTCATTATATTCTCTGTATATTTTAGATCAACATTAATGTTCAATATTCTTCTAAAAGCAAGTGTTTACAAAAATACAAGCCATTTTCGAAAACGTTGTTTTCCAATCTAATACCAAAGTTTGGTAATTAAATGTGACGAAGCTACGGTAGCTACAGGCCCGCAATTACCCGCAATATTTTCTCTGTATATTTAAGATCTATATTAATGTCCAAATTTCTCCTGAAAGTTGGTGTATACATAAATATAGTCCAATTTCGAAGACGTTATTTTTCCAACTCATCTGTGAAATACCAAAGTTTGTTAATCAATTATGAAGACGCTATTTATTCTGTGTATATTCAAGATCAACATCCATGCATAACATTCTTCTAGGAGCTCATGTTCACCAAAATACAGGCCATTATCTAACATGTTGTTCTCCTATTTGTTTATAAAAGTTCTAATTTAAATAAACGAATATATCAAAATAGTGCTTGAACAAATGTAATGTTATTACTTTAGTCTAATAATTTAAAAACTAATTAGTTTTCGAGTTATATTCGTTTTAATTAGACAATCAGACTTATATGTCGGATTTATCAGGAAATAATCTGTAAGTTTGGTTGCAGACTGTTTCCTGAATATACCGATAGATGTCTCTGCTTGCGTAATTTCAAACGCATAAATCTCGAAAACTAATTAACATTGAAATAATTAGACTAAAGTAATAACATTATATTCATTCAAGCAATCTGTTGACATATTTGTTTATTTAAATTAGAACGTTTTTAAAGAAGTGGGTTTTAAGCAGCGCCAAAATGCCTGAACTACAACCTTTGAAATATTGCTAACAGATGGCGACAGCTGTCACTCAAAATTGAATATTTAATTTGCGCCTAAAGTGGAGGCAACCAAACATGCGTATACACTTTGATGAACAAACAGGAAAACAACGTTTTAGATAATAGCCTGTATTTTCGTAAATATAAGCTCCAAGAAGAATGTTAGACATGGATGTTGATATTGAATATACGTAGATTCAAATGAGTGTATATATTTAATTATAGCTGCTATAGCGTCTTCATAATTAATTAACAAACTTTGTTATTTCACAAATGACAACTAGATAAACGTCTTTGAAAATGGCCTGTATTTTCGTAAAAATTAGCTCCCACAAGAATGTTAGACATGGATGTTGATCTTGAATATATGTAGATTCAAATGAGCGTAAATATTGGATTATATCTGTTACAGCGTCTTCATAATTAATTATCAAACTTTAGTATTTGACAGATTGGAAAACAACGTCTTCGAAAATTAACTTTCTCCTAAAAGTTGGTGTATACATAAGTATAGGTCATTTTCGAAGACGTTATTTTCCCAACTCATCTGTGAAATACGAAAGTTTGTTAATCAATTATGAAGCCGATATTAAATCTATGTATATTCAAGATCAACATCCATGTACAACATTCTTCTAGGAGCTCATGTTTACGAAAATACAGGCTATTATCTAACACGTTGTTTTAACATATGTAGAAATTTTCAGGAAATAGTCTGTAAGTGTGGTTGCAGACTGTTTCCTGAATATACCGACAGATGTCTCCGCTTGTGTAATTTCAAACGCATAAATCTCGAAAACTAATTAGCATTTAAATGATTAGACTAAAGTAATAACATTATATTTATTCAAGCACTCTGTTGACATATTTGTTTATTTAAATTATAACGTTTTTTAAAGAAGTGGGTTTTAAGCAGCGCCAAAATGACTGAACTACAATCTTTGAAATATTGCTAAGAGATGGCGCCAGCTGTCACTCAAAATTGAATATTTGATTTGCGCCTAAAGTACAGGCAACCAAACATACATATACACTTTGATAAATAAACAGGAAAACGTTTTAGATAATGGCCTGTATTTTCGTAAACATAAGCTCCAAGAAGAATGTTAGACATGAATGTTAATCTTAAATATAGGTAGATTCAAATGAGTGTAAATATTTTATTATAGCTGCTATAACGTCTTCATAATTAATTAACAAACTTTGTTATTTCACAAATGACAACTAGATAAACGTCTTCGAAAATGGCCTGTATTTTCGTAAAAATTAGCTCCCACAAGAATGTTAGACATGAATGTTGATCTTGAATATACGTAGATTCAAATGAGCGTAAATTCTGGATTATAGCTGCTATAGCGTCTTCATAATTAATTATCAATCTTTAGTATTTGACAGATTGGAAAACAACGTCTTCGAAAATTAACTGTATTTTCCTAAGAAAATGCTCCCAGAAGAATTTTGAATATGAATGTTGATCTAGAATATACTTAGATTAAATTGAATGCAAATATAGGCTCGAGTTTACCATAGCTTGCTTTCAATTAATTATCCAACTTTGGAATTAGTTTTGAAAACAACGTTTTTGAAAATGGACTGAATTTTCGTAAACACTTGCTTTTAGATGAATGTTGAACATGAATGTTGATCTATAATATACAGAGATTAAAATAAAGATTGATAGTTATAAAAAATACTTTTAGTCTTTTTCTGAGGAGTTGATGAAAATTAACATTTTTGTTTTCCAGTATTTTCAATGCATTCAGAAATGTTTTCCAGTCTCTAAGGATTTATCTGAAATAGTCTGTAAGTGTGGTTGCAGACTGTTTCCTGAATATACCGACAGATGTCTCCGCTTGTGCAATTTCAAACGCATAAATCTCGAAAACTAATTAGCATTTAAATGATTAAACTAAAATAATAACATTACAATTATTCAAGAACTATGTTGACATGTTTGTTTATTTAAATGAGAACGTTTTTAAAGAAGTGGGTTTTAAGCAGCGCCAAAATGCCTGAACTACAATCTTTGAAATGTTGCTAAGAGATGGCGCCAGCCGTCACTCAAAATTGAATATTTAATTTGCGCCTAAAGTGCAGGCAACCAAACATACATATACACTTTGATTAATAAACAGGAAAACAACGTTTTAGATAATAGCCTGTATTTTCGTAAACATAAGCTCCAAGAAGAATGTTAGACATGGATGTTGATCTTGAATATACGTAGATTCAAATGAGTGTATATATTTAGTTGTAGGTGCTATAGCGTCTTCATAATTAATTAACAAACTTTGTTATTTCACAAATGACAGCTAGATAAACGTCTTCGAGAATGGCCTGTATTTTCGTAAAAATTAGCTCCCACAAGAATGTTCGACATGAATGTTGATCTTGAATATACGCAGATTCAAATGAGCGTAAATACTGGATTATAGCTGCTATAGCATCTTCATAATTAATTATCAAACTTTAGTATTTGATAGATTGGAAAACAACGTCTTCGAAAATTAACTGTATTTTCCTAAGAAAATGCTCCCAGAAGAATTTTGAATACGAATGTTGTAAATACAGGCTTGTGTCTACCATAGCTTGCTTAGAATTAATTATCCAACTTTGGAATTAGTTTTGAAAACAACGTTTTCAAAAATTGGCTGAATTTTCGTAAACACTTGCTTTTAGATGAATGTTGATCTATAATATACAGAAATTATAATTATTGAAAATATAGATTGATAGTTATAAAAAATACTTTTAGTCTCTTTCTGGGATTTGATGAAAATTAACATTTTTGTTTTCCAGTATTTTCAATGCATCTAGCATTCAGAAATGTTTTCCAGTCTCTAAGGATCATGTAGACAGCAGCAATAGAATCATAGATACTAAAAGATTCATAGTTGTTATCCATCTCCTTAATGAAATACTATTTTTGGTCACATTCAGCAGTTAAGGTTTTCACTATTTGCAAATGAAAACTACTAGTAAAGAAGGCTTTCCACTTTCTGGTGAACTTAAGGTTATCAAATATACATGTTGCTATCAGCTCCACCTAAAATAATAATAATTGTATCAATGATTGTTAACTCTTACCTTATGACTATTAACAATTAATGCACATTCTTATACGAAGACACTGATTCAGTATGTCGTATGTGAAAGATTTTAAGAATTGTCATTAATTAGCTGCAGTTTCTGTTGATATGTTGACAGTTTTCTGAAGATAAAGAATTTTAGTGTTCGATGGTTGTTGACATATTTCACTAGTACTTGCCCGAAGTGAGATGTGAAGTTCAGAGAAAGGTTTTCCATACAATGAAATAGAAGAAGGAAGCAATGGAGCACGTTATTCATTAAGTTTGCATTCAGAACAATGTAGAATAAGCAGGAAATCCAATAAAGACCTTTAAAGTTAACTGCAACTGTAGCTGTCAGTGTGACAGCTGTAACGATGACAGTTCGCTCACTCACACAAACGCAATATTCAAAATTTCAAATTACAACCAATCAGGAACGAGCGATGCTAGGAGCTCAGATACCTCCTCGCTACTCCTGTTCTCCTGATGCAAATCGAAATTTTCTGGCATTTTCGAGAATCAAGAGGGGGAGGGACTTGCGTTTTGATTCGCGAAAACCGCCAACGCATTAAAGCTTAATAACTTTCTTATTAATTGACCAAAACTAGCGTAGTTTATAGCAAACAAAAGCGAAAGAATTATTCTTTAAAATAGTTAATTAAAATTTTGTAATATATATGAATATAACCGTTTATTAACTATTTTTTTCAGTTTGCTGCAATACCTTAACGTTTTTTTAAATTAATCGATTACCACTCATGATAATTAAACCATCGAATACGCAAATTAAAGACAAAATTACAACCTTTCCAATGAGTTGATTACCGGCA